CCTCCCCAAAACACATTAGCCCAGTCTGATCATGAGGAAAACACCAGACCAATTCCATCTGAGGGACATTCCTTCTCAAACCTGTCATGGTCACCACAAACAAGTCAAGTCTGAGAAGCTGTCACAGCCAAGAGAAATCCAAGGAGACATGATATCTCAGTGTGATATGGGATCCTAGATGGGACCCCAGAACAGAAAATAGACATTAAGGCGAAACTGAGGAAATCGAAATAAAGTATGGACTTTAGTTAATAATAACAATAATGTATCAATACTGGTTTATTAATTGTGACAAATGTACCATGTTAATATAAGCATACAGAAAATAATTTAAGACACACATGTATCCACCATCTAGGTTTAACAGATACTAACATTTTGCCCCATTGGTTTCAGATGTCTTTTGTCTTTTCAAGAAATAAAATGTTACCAATGTAGTGAAAACTACTCTCTATACCTTTCCTCTCCCCTTATTCCCAGAGATAATGTCTGAGGTTGCTGATTATCATTTCCATGCATATTTTCTACTTATGCTCCATATACCTATTTACAAAATATGCTACCGTTTTTGTGTTAATAGTTATTTCAAGATAACATGTGGTTATATAACGTTTGCAAATTGCTCCTTCACACAATATTGGTTGTTAAATTTATCTCTGTTGATTCACTTAGATTTGGTTCATTCATTTTAACCTCTGTATAGCATCCTATTGTATGAAAAATGCACCATTTTTCGCCCTTCCACTGAGGGACAATTAGAATGTTTCTAGTTGTTTTTACTATTGAAAACAATGGCCCGATTAACATTCTTATATGTGTCTTCTGGTCCATATGTCAAGAGTTTATAGGGTACATTCTATGAGTGGAATTGCTGGGTTGTGGGGTAGGTAAATGCATCCTTAGCTTTCTGGGTATTGTCAAGTTGCTCTCCAAAGTGGATGTACTAATTTATCTCCCCGATAGCAGGGAATAAGAATTCAATTCCCTCTGTGAACAGCCAGCCCTGCCCAGTTCTTCATTTTCTCAGCCAGGTTCCTGAATATATTTTTATGCTTATTGGCCGTTCTGGTTTGCTCTGTGAATTGCCTGTTGATAGCTGTTGCCATTTTTGTACCGGATTGCTTATAAATTTATTACTGAATGCATATTTAATTTGTTACAAAGGCAGCACAAGGTTCTCAGATATCTTCACCCTGTGATGTACTGGGGCGGGCTCACAGGGTCTTGCAAAAGCCTGTTGTACATCTCCTCAGAAGTCTGTACAGTAATACCTTGGTTTGCGAGCATAATTCGTTCCTGAAACAAACTACTTGTATTGCAAGACATCGCTCGTTTACCACATTAAAATGTATTAGAAATGTTTGCTCATCTTGCGGAACACTCGCAAACCATGTTACTCGCAATCCAAGGTTTTACTGTACTCGGTGACTTCACATTGGTGGCTTGAATTAGCCCTGGTAGAATACTTACACAAGAGAAATTGGCAAGCTCTACAAGTCAGGGCTCTCCCCCCTGCCACACACACACATAACCTATTATCAAACATTTGAGGCTAGCACACCAGCATACACACATTATCTTAACCTCCACCTGGCTCCTGTTTGCTTCATCCATCTCCCACAATGTGGTTGGTTTGAAACCAATCCCAGACTTCCGAACTTGACTTTTTGGCCTATTGGAACTGGGCCTTGAACCTGAAAGGAGCGATTTCATCAGGGTTTCTGCGATAGAAGATAAAGTCTATATCCCATTCAACTGATGGATATATCCTCAACTTGGAAGCTGATCACTACTCAGTTAAAGCAAAGCCAGTCCCCATCAGTACCCATCAGACACAGCAATCCATATGGAAGCATAGTAAAATCAAAATATCCAGTGATCCTGGAGTTGGAAGGGACCTCTGATGTCACCCTGTCATCCTCTCAGTCAGTCCAGTACTTCTTTGGGCAGTTTCTCCAGTGCGTGTGGACCCAGTCTCTGCCTGGTCAGCCTGATGATTCAAAGCTCTTTCCACACAGGCCGTGTTCCCAGAAGACACTGCGAGATAATGCTCATTATTTGTGTCTATTGGGAAAGAAGAAACAGTCTTTAAAAAGAGCCGAAACCTGTTTTCCTTCCCATTGGCCTAGCTCCGCCCGGTGGAGTTACCTGGGTCACATCTAATAACTGTTTTCCAGGTACATAAAGCTAGAAGTCACATAAGACTTGTCTTAATATCTGTGTGTCTTCATCACTCCTCACGGGGTATAGGAACTGGCCATTTCCAATGCTTGACCCCGAGTCAGTATTCATTTCTCTTGTGGATCAATGGCGCTCCAAGGTCAGATGTAAACCTGATTCTCCAGGTGTCTCCACACTGCAGAGCAGCAGGCGTTTGCACAATTGTGAGATCTCATTTATTTGTAGCGTGTCCATGAGGCCAGAAAGAGTTGCTGCTAGTAAGGAGCCTGATACATTGATGGTGCTAAAAAAAAAAATTACTGAAGAAATGTACAAATATAGTTTAAATAAGGTTCCACCACCAGAACGTACTATCCCAAAGAGAACATTTTGCGGGAACATTCTCAATGATCAGTTTGAAGGTTATTCCTTTGGTGGGTCACCTGTGGTGTGGTCACTTGCCCCTTACCATGGTGACGTTTTGCTGTCTCTCCATCCCCATATTTTTCAAAGAATATATATGAGGATTCAGAACTGCTTAAAAAAAATGTGTTGCGCTCTTAGATACCCTAATGTGTGAAAAATCTGCCTTAATCAAACAAATTAGGAAACGATTACTCCCTGAGCCTGGCTTCTGTTGCCCATGCATTGATTTATAGACTATTAATTACTTGACAGAGAAGGCAAATGTAGGAGACATATAGCCAAAGGATGAGACACCAGTGTACCACTCTCAATTTCAAAACAGAGAAAGTCGTCATGGCATTTCAGAGGCAGAAAGGTCTTTCCCAACATGATCATCTCACAGAGGAGAAAACAGAGAGGCGGAGTGACCTGCACAAAGTCACACAGCTTTGCAGAATGGGGCAAAGGAGCATCTTGTGTCTCCCTGACACGCTGCTCCCTGATAGAGCTGGTGGCATTAATCGGAGGGAACAGAAATTTTGATTTAACCCCACTTTTCAGGTTACTTCTGTGATGCACTTATCAAATTACGAAGCATCTTTCGTGCTCGTCTTCACTGTTGATATGTGTGGAAATTAATTACACAGAAGAGTGAAGATGGCTCACCCATCTCAGAGACTGACCATGGCAAATGACAAGCGAAAAAAGATGGCGTCATTACAGCGCTTTTGGCGTTGGTTAATTTCCCATGGATTACCATGCGGGGAGTTGAACGTGCCCCCCATACCCCTTCAGGTTGGGGATAGGCTAGTGCCAGTCTGTGGAAGGCTATGCTCAGGGCCCTTGGGCAGTGACAAGCCTTTCATTCTTCACTATGAATCTATGGTGATCCCAAGGGTGCCAGGTACTCCTGGCCCAGGCCTGGGTTTTCCAGAAACTTTCCTTATTGATACTTCACCTGAACATGGTTCTGGAAGAAGTCCCCAAAAAAGATGTTCCCGTGCTGTCTCTGTCCAAATGCTGGCTGACACTTCCACATTGTTTTTTTAAGTGTCATGGAGGAATGTAGCATTTATGGCCCTGTGAGCTGGCTATCTGTGTCATCTAAAATAGAAAATCTTCTCAAGTTGGGTGTAAACACATCTCGAGGAGACTGGCACTCGCACTGCTGTGGCTGTGCAGGGACTGGAGCCAACCAGGAGTCACTAAGACCTTTCCTGCCCCTGGGTGGCTTTGTGGAGACCCTGTAGTGCCTTCCACAGCTAAAGCCCTTTGCACGGGACCTTAGGCAGGTGGACCTCTGGAAGTGTTATCTGTAGAGATAGCTGTGGGCATGGAGATTGAAGATGAACATCTCAACTAACTCGCATAACAGCAAAATGGAAAGCATTGTGCTAACCTTTTTTAGAACAGCTGCAAAATTTCCAACTTATATAATGCACTCTTTAAACCTTTTTAAAATTCAGATATAATTACACGAGGCAGTGCATCCATCTTAAGTGTACAGTTCAATGCGGTTTTGATGAATGCACACTACCATAGCCAATACCCCAATCAAGACATAGAGCCCTGCCACCCCCCCCAGAAAGTTCTTTGTTCTTCTTCTTAGTCATCCACAATACCCCGTTCCCCGCCCCCCCACCAAAGGCAACCATGATTCTATCTCATCAATCAGTTTTGCCTGCTCTTGAACTTCAAATGAATGGGCTAATTTGTGCTCTTTGTACACTTTTGTGCCTGGCTTATGCATTATACTTTTGGGGCTCATCCATGGTTTTGTATGTATTAATAGTTCCTTCTTTTTTCTTGTTAAGTAATATTACATGGAATGGATATATAACGATTTGTTTACCCATTCTCCTTTTGATGTATTATATTTGGGTGGTTTCCAGAGGTTTGCTATTATAAATAAAGCAACTATCAACATTCTCATATAGGTCTCTTTGTGGATATATGTTCCTTTTTTTGGGTTAAATTGTGAGGGGCAGAATAGCTGGATCATAAGTTACGTGTACATTTAACCTTATAGGAAACTGCTAGATGGTGTATACAATGCACTCTTAATGAATGATGCTGATCACCTATGAAGTGAATGCTTTTACATTTTTTTCTTTCATGGTCTGTTTTTGTCTTGAATTGCATTGATAGGATATGAGTACACATGCTTCAGAAATATATCTTTTAAGGATGAGACCTGGATTAACTATATCATTTTAGTGGTACTTTCATGCTTCTGAATCACTTATACAAACAGCTTGGAATCTGGAATCATATTGAAAACTGGGTAATCTCGTTCGTGGATCTCCCCATATTTTTCTTTATCTTTTAAAATATTTTATACATTATATACATACACACACACACACACACACGTTAGTTATAAAGCATAACCATAAAATAGAAACCTATAAATCTACCACCCGGTCAGAAATGAACCTATTTCTAAGAATACTGCCTCTACCTATGGGCTTCTGTCCACCCACTCCCCGAGGGAACCAGGATCCTGGATTTTGTATTATTAAGCCTCTTGGTAAAACAAAACAAAAATATTTCACCATGCATTTCATTCTCTTGCTTTAAAATACTTGCAACATTTGTTGTTGTTGTTGTCCTTGCTTTTAGGAGCTTTTACAAAATGGTGTCAAGTGTGTAGTTTTTTTTTTTCAGAACTTGCATTTTCTTTTTTTAACTTAACATAGTATTTCAAAGACCCACCCATGCTGTGTGTAGCTGTAGTTTACTCACTTTTGCTGCTGAATAACATTCCTTTCTGGGAATCACAACATATTGTATTACTACTAATACTTGATTGTCAGTTGGGCTGTTTTTCATATTTTAACTTGGTACATATTACATTTGGGGGCTGTCTGGAACATTTATCAGCATCATTTGAGATACAGCTGTTTTCAAGGGCACAGTTTTTAAAAAACCAAAAATAAGCAATCAGTTTCTGCTCCAAAAGAAGGGAAATTGACAAAGATACCTGGGGAAAATAGCATAAAAACAAAAGTGTGATGCACTGTCAGACTCCAGTGAAAGTTTTACTATATGATTTTATTTCCAAGGTGGAAAAAATGAGTTTGACTTTGGTATGTAGAATGTAATCACTGAAAAAAATAAATATTTCCTTCTATGTGTATGTGATCAAGTTAAAGCTGAAAGGCAACTTATATTTCGATTCTTTTTTTCTAAAAATGAAGGCATACAATACTAATCACCTAACTTTTCCGTCTAAAATAGCTTAATCTTATTGATTTCCTACTACTTTAGGAAAACACAAACATTTAAAAAATTCACAAATGAAAAATCATTTTGGTAAAAAACTCCAAAACACTAGAATTTAAACAACTGAGCATTTGTCCCTTATTCTGTGTACCTTATGTCTTTAGGGACAAATGAATGGGAATCATTACAAATACTAAAAATGTATAGTACTTAAAAAGATTTTCCATTAGCATTAGTCTTTTAAAAGTCAGCTCTAACCTTCTGTCTGAATTTACAAGTATGTATTTCAAAATTCTAAACACCAAGTATAATGAAAATATAATATTGATATTCCTTTTCAGTTAACTGCAGAATGGATCTGCAGGCATCAAGACCAACCTCATGCAGGGAACTCTCTGAAGAAATACTTTAAAATTAGTAGACTGAATTTTAATTATTCACACATAGTGCCTGAGTTTTAAATGATACATACTAAACTTGTTTCTTTTTAAAGATTCTAATACATTTCTTCCTTTGTTAATGTCCATAACCTCTAAAACTGGAATATTTTATTCAAAAATTAAGCTGAATTTCATTCAGTTAAGCAAAACAATCACAACTCAAGTCTTAAGTGAAAAAAGATTTATTTCCCTTCCATATAACTGACTCACTGAATTGAACTAAAAATTTCCAAGGAGATAAATGATTTGGGGAATAAATATGGGGGTGGGGGAAGGCTAGGTTTCCATTATGATAGCTGTTGACTTGTTTTCAGGTCTTAATTTTAAAAATGATTTACAGCCGATGGGATGCGCAGTGTAACTCGGAAATCTTTTACAATTAAAGAGTAAAAAAACCCCCCAAAAAACCAAAACCTATCTTTTCTTTAGAATAGACCCTTTCCTACCAGACAGCCTGGTTGTTTGAGACAAACACTTCTACTCGATTTAGACATTTCACGATTCTTTTATTAGCCATCTTCTTTTTATTTGTTATTGACATCAATTAGCCTGAGTCTTGAAACCCGAACACATGAAAGGCGACACGTGACCCACTCACTATTTTTTTTTTTAAAGTCCACGTATTTCAAACTCCTTTCTCCAGCCATGGCTGGGCTGTTTCCCCCTTTAGGGACCTGGTCTCTGCAGCATTTATTCGTTAGATGGCAGTCCTCCGGCAGTCTTGCTTTGGGGAAACCTCTCCTTGGGCACACTCAAGAAAACCACAGAAGAGACTTGGGGTTGATGCTGGTTTCTAGTCACTTACATAGCAAAGGAAGCAAGAGGGAGGTGCCCGGGAGGACCCGAGGCAGGTGCTGGTGGGTTTCCGCAGTGACCACTGATCGCGCGTGTGTGCGGCGTGTCCCTGAGTCTCGACCCCAAGCAGGAGACTGTGCGGGTCGCCGCCCGGGACCCCTTCCTTCAGGGGCCCCTCGGACACGCCCCCTAGCCTCGGGGGCCCCCGCGGCCCGCACCGTGCACGCGCTTTGGCCGCTCCCAGCAGCCGCCCACGTGGTGGAGCCCGGAGCAGCGCGAGGAGCTTGTGGGGCGGGCCGCGGGTCTTCGAGGCCCGGCCAGTGCAACCCAGTCTGGCGGGCCCCCAGTACGGGCCCCCACATTTCCTCTCCGGGACGGAGGGAGGCGACACTCGGCGGGCCAGCCCTCCCCCGCGCCTGCTACGCCCCCTGGCGGCCGCCTCGGGGACGCGCCCTGGGCACGCGGGGCAGCCTGTCTGGGCCCCCCTTCCCCGGCTCCGGGCTCGCGGCGGGCGGCGGGTCGTCTCCCTTCGCACTCCCAGGCCGAGCCCCGCGGGCCGCGCCCTTCTCTGCTCAGCCCCCCGCGAGCCCCGCAACTCCGGGCTCCCCAGTCGCGACACCGCGGCCGCCCTAGCCTTGCGTGAAAGTGCCCACTTTGGGAGCCTGGGGGGGAGGGATCTCCTTTCTCCCAGGTGTGCCCCTCCCGCCACGTTCGGGCTTTCCAGAACGCTGTGAAAAAATGCCGCATGCACGCACTTATTTATTTATTTTGCAACAGCTGCAAGAAACAATGAAGCTTTTCAAGAACCGG